AGCTGTCCAAGTATGAGCACCCCCCTCAGGGATGCTCCAGACTTGGGGATCCAAGAGACCTGGGAGGGGATAGATGCTGATGTGTGCAGGGGGCTCATTGATATTATGCCTAGGAGGGTGAAGGCGGTGGTTAGGGCTAAGGGAAAATGGACTAGGTACTGATTTCTCGGTGTCTCTTGCATACTTTGAACATGACACAAACTGTCCGAGTGTACTTGTGTGTGTGGATTTTTCCCAAGCACATTAGATTGAATTCTCAGGGTTGGTTCCCATGAAACATTCATGTATAGGCATATGTCTAGCTCTGCCTTAAAACCTGGCATTTAATGAGCTGCATCTCTAAACACTACACACGATTATTCGCCTAGGGAGGCTGAGATGTGGACAATTTCTTCCATCAGTGTATATTTGTATATGTTTATAGGCTAGCTAGGAGCATACTATAGAGAGTACAATACTTAGAACAAAACTACTCGGTATGCCCTATCCTTGTCAACTCGCTACCCTGAGACAGGGTGACGCGCTAAGGGATGCACGATGCGCGTACCCAGGCAGACGCGCTAAGGCATGCTCATCGCGCCAAGGCAGGGAGACGCGCTAAAGCATGCTCGTCGCTCTAAGGCAGGGAGACGCGCGTAGGCAGGTAGAGGCGCTAAAGCATGCTCGTCGCTCTAAGGCAGGGAGACGCGCGTAGGCAGGTAGACGCGCTAAAGCATGCGCATGAACCAATGAAGCAGCGCCTGTAATTCCCCCCAAGTGCCTCTATAATGAGTGTGCTCCTCATTTCCCACACGTCTCCGCTCCCTCATTCAGGCACCCCTACCCGCCCCCGCCCCCCAAACCCCACCATCTCCCCTAACAGCTGGGCCATCAACAAGAATGCGGACGAGCCGCATCATACTCAGGTCTTCGTTCCCAACCCAGAGACTGGATCACGTCTCTGCATTCCGCGGGATGCTATTATCACCCCCCACCCCATCCCCCCCACCATCTCCCCCTCTTTCAGCCCTCTTAAAAGTCGAGATGACCTCAAAGATGCATCCCTTCTAATACCCATACAACACCGCACCCATGCTCCCCTCCTTGAGCCAACTCCCAACAACCCCCCCCCCCCCCCCCAATCCATCCTGAAGGCAGAGGGAACCCTGAAGAGCAACCAGCTGAAGGGGTGTGCGTGCTGCAACCAGTTCAGTTGTTCCTTTTTCTCGTATTTTTCCCCCCCAAGCAGCCTGAGGAGCTACCACCTGAAGGGGTGTGTATGCTGCAACCAGTTCAGTTGTTCCCTTTTCTCCTCTTTGCCCCCCCTGTCTGTAGCCTGAGGAACAACCAGCTGAAGGGATGTGTGCTGCTGGCTGCAGTCCATCCCGTGCGAACTTCAGCCATTCTATCCCTATCCTGCCCCTTTTACATGCCTTCTCCCCTCTCTCCTCCCTCCCAACCACCTGAGGAGCAACCAGCTGAGCGGCTGTGTGCTGCAGCCCATCCCTGCGTCCATCCAGCAGTACCAATTCGACTCCAATTTTTTCTCCTGCGGCTTCACCCTCCCGCCAACCGCTCCCAAGGCATCATAGCCATCCAACCCAACGCCCACCAACCCCCCATCAACCAACCCCCACCCAACGCACCCCCTCTCCATAGGATCCTTCCAACCGCCCTCTCCTCTCCTGCAAGCAAGTGTACTCTGCTTGCACCAACACAGCAACACCCGACCCCGCTCTCCTTCCTCACAGCCTCAAGGCAGCACACGGGTTCGGCCCAGCATGCCCGGCTGCCCAGAATCGCCTTCCAAAACCACCGAGAAGCCCAGAAAGCCAGCCACCCCCCACCCCCCCTCCCCACTTCCACCCACTCCTCTGCCATCCCACCCATTCTCCATCCTGTCCACTACCCTACCTCCCACCCCGCTTACTAGACCCTCTTCACAAGTGAGACCAGGTGATCGAAAGTAATCACTAGCAAGGGATTCCACTCATGACGTGTGACTCTTCCCCAAGATCATCCAGCCCCTAATAACGTCCCACACCCGTGATAATGTACACCCTGTAGGAAAGAATGAACGACGGGAGTCCGCAAATGGCTGGGCAGCAACACGGTCAAGAAGATCCGGCGAGGGGAGAGGGGAGGGGGCTCAGTATCAGTCGTCATGTCCGTCAAAGGACAAGACTGCCGCCAGTCCGTGACTCTGCATCCTAGTGCTGGACCTTGCTGGCATTTGCACACAAGCTTCCTAAACAGTATACTGTCCTCGAGCAGTTGGGTGCTGAATGTCTTGGGCTCAGGGGCGAGAGTGAGGAGGTGCATGCCTTGCGCACAGCTGAGAGTGTGATTCGGGTGTGTTGCGAAGGGTGCACTGCAGAGTCGGTGGATGGTACTCTATTGCAACCAAGGCGCCATCGCTTCTGCTGCTACTTGGACTACTCTTGGCTGCTAGGGGATCACATGTTTGCTAAAGTGCGGCTTCCCTGGCTGATATATGTCGTGATTGGTTCTCTATACAAGGAGACGGGGCAAGGTGTGTACAAAAATTGTGAGGCGGATGTGGATTACTTCGCAGATGTTTGGGAGGTACCAATGGAGATTGATTTCGAGATGTAATCATTCGGTTAGTGCAATGGCGTGGGTGCACTATGCGAGACAGGTTTAGGGGGATCCAACCACTTGCAGTGCCAGAAGTTGTAATAAGAGGGAGGGCACTTGTTTACTAAGGATGTGTGTAAGAAGACAAGAAACTATTACATGTCCACCTTGGTCACTGCAACAAGTGCACCTTTTTTAGGACTACATGAACGAAATGTCAACCAATGAGGTACCTAGACCCACAGGGCCAAACTCGAGCCATATGCACGAGACAAAGACACAGGAGCCAAGGGAGGTAGGAAGCTTGCTCAGCCTGTGCCATGTTGGGTACGGTGGAATTCTTCGAGGACCACCAAGTGGTGTCATGCTTGTGGCAGATTCGGAGGGCCATGCGTGCTGAGCGAATTGTCACCCCACATCAAAGCCCCATGCGAGAGGACAGGATGAGAGCATCATGACTGTACTAGCTGGAGGACCATGTGCCTGCCCAATAATCACCAACTTACTGGCCCCCCCTAATGGCAATCACAACTAGGAGGTGTGATATGAGGTAGGTGTTGTGTAAAACCACGTCCAATCACACCTACAACAAGGTTGTCGAAGAGTGGTCTAGAGTTATGAGAGGCAAGACAGTTTGGGCTGCTGTGAACCCTGCATGATTCGAAGAAACGCGATGGAGACCAGCCGTGCAGCGCACAAGTGCAACAACTCTGAGGCACCAAGTCATTCATCAGATGAAATGTGGGAGGAACAAAAGGATGTGGAGATCCAATAGGGTTACGTTGCAAGGGTGCTTGTAAGGGATCAAACGACAATGCCCAAGAACAACCAGAAGTGCAACAGAGATGAGTACGTGAGTACACACATCCCATGGTAGCACCTCCTAAAAGGTTAATGACGGAAGCGGTGTGAGGCGACATAGGGTCTTACCACTTCGCCTAGAGAATGTTCTGGATGATAGGGGTGGGCTGGATGATAGGGGTGGGCGTGTAGCGGGCACGCTTCATTGCCGATGCTAGGTCTGCAATCGTGAAAGGGCCAGACGGGATTTGGACAGAGGTGAGGACAATGAGGATTCCACTAGACAGGAGGGAGGGAGTGCACACTGGTCAAGGATCACATGTGGGTGCTACACGTCAAGGTGAGTGCTAATAGAGGAAGCACAAAGCCCAAATACAGCATCATGTACGCATACTAGGAGCTGCATACCTGCAGTGAACGTGTGTCAGCAGCCAGTGCATGGGAGTGGTACAACTCCCAAAGCCCCCTCAAGGGGCGGATGCGACCGCCTGTCGCCAGTCTGTAAGAATGTCCGAAGTCCACTTCCAATTCATGGGTCCGAGCACCCGTTCCCGCTTCCCCCGCTTTACACGCGTTGCTCGTCTAATGCGGATCACATGCTTCCGCACTATGCGCTCTACCATGTTGTTCCAGTGCAGCACCAACAACGCCACGCATGCCTCTATACTCCCTCGGAAAAGTATGCGTGTAGGTGCATACTTGAAAATGACGGAATGAAAGGACTCATTCAGCCAACAACTAGCACCGAGCACAAATGCTCGCATTTTCTCCTCGTTGCAATGCTTCTCCAGCCACGCACGAAAAAGCAAGGTGGGTGGCATACTCAGGTGCATACAGTGCAGCCTATGTACCCCTGTTATCAAGAACACAGCGCGGTGTGATACCATGGCGTGCGCACCTGGAATGGTCTCCCACCGAATGGTCCGCCGACAGCCCTAGCTCAAACGCTACCTCTGCTGCAGACATCGGCCTCCCTGCCCTGGCCAGCGTGGCACAGCGCATCATAACATGATGAAAATGTATACTAAATCTTTGCGCCACGCTCACTTCCTCTACATGATCCACATCCGCTGTACTTGATGGCCCACTTCTCCTTGCCACTGGCCGCTTAGTCCGCTCTGCCTTCATCACCCATCGCCTCTTCCCAACCAATTCTTGAGTTGCAGCGTCTGCTCCCATTTCCGCCTCATCATCCGCCACAGCAGGGGACGATGACCCATCGGATTGCCTGCCTTGCTGCCCCCCCCGTCAACGGGCACCCCTCCTCGCTCGTCCCCTCCTCTTCTTGCCATGTGCTGCTGCCACTTCCCGACCAGTGGAGCATCCGGGAACGAGTCACTTGTCTCACTTACAGCTGAGACCTCACTCTCCCCATCACTCTCCCCTTCAGACTCGTCTTGGTCAGCATCCGCAACCCGTCTGCCTTTGCGCCCGCTTTGCCTTGCAGTTTGTCCTGCGTGCCACTCCCTTGCCCCGTGTCTTCACCGCATCCTCCTCCTCACTGGACTCGCTCTCGGTTTGATGATCAGCGCCCGCATCACCATCATCGATCCACCATCCACGGGCGTGGAGATTGTCGATCTCTTTACGTGCTCCAATCATCTCCGCTGCATTGGTATTCGAGCACAAATGCATGGTGGGTTGAAAATGCGTAGCATACACACTGCCCAACGAACCCGTGCCCTTTGAACGCAAGTAGTGCACTTGCGGTGGTGTGCATTGCGTTCCGAGTTTCACCTTCCTCAGTTGTGTGTGGCTGGGCTTCCGGTGTATCGGCAGCCTCATCGTGCCTCCTAGCCACCGTCTCCACCAGCGGCAAGGGCACGAGGGAGCATGGTCGAATTCCGTTGCCTGGATGAACATCCCAGGAGAACATCTCGCCAACATCGGCAAACTCCACATCGTCCGCCCTCGCCTCCGTTACGGCACCATCTACAGCAGCATCGTATGCATCACCATCGAGGGCACGTAGCGACTCGCCCACATGATCACCCTCTGCGGCAGCGCCAGCCGTGCAAACCACGACATGCCTTAACTCAAGGAATAGGTAAGATGACTTCTTATGGTCTCACACAGCGTAATCAATGTTTGGGAGCAGGGCCCAAACAGCATGCACCAAGACCGCTCGCGTTGATTTTATCGTCAGGTTCCCTGCTCGGCCCCTGTTTGATAGCCATTGGAGCAATTTGGTCTTCTTGATGTGCCACAAGTCCTCAATCGTCTTTACAACATCAACGGTCATGTCTTCAGGCTTCCGGGCATCCATAATTTCTTTGAAGAATGCCTTGATAAGCGAACGAGCCATATGCCAAACATCAACTTGATGCTTCAGCTTCAAATCAGTGATCACTTTCTTGAATGTGATCCCACCATCTGTGATGACCCCAACCACCGGAAAACCTATCAAAGGCCACACGTTCCAGGGCTGTTGATGAAGTACCACACGCCCACTTATTGACAGTCACCTGGTGCAGCACCTTCTTGGAGACCCTATCAATGAAGGAGGCGGTGCCCCACTCCCCCTCTCTCGCTTGCGACCACCTTCCATCCACCGAAATCCATATCTCTCCCATGAACCGTGCCATGATCTCCTCCCTAACCCGCACCATTGACAGTTTGCTTTGGCGAATAATGCTGGCCCATAGGCCGATCGGGCCTTTCATGTAGTTATAATGTTAGGGCCGATCATCCTTGCTGTTGGCACCTTCATACCAATGCTACGTGCTATGGACCACATCGCCTGGTACGCACACCCACATATCTGGTAAGCCCCTAGCACAGTTCTCGTGAGCCATGGCATCTTCGGTCCCTTTTTTTTAGCTTGTTGAGGATCCACTGCTCCATCACACGACCACCAAACCTCAGTTTTGTGACATTTTTTGCAGCGCCATAGGAGACCTAGGCCACCTAGTGAAAGCTTTGCACTTTGCAATAACATCGCCCTCCCACACGCTAGGTCTGCAGTACAGTGCAGTGTGAACAGTAGCATCAGCCGTACGAAGAATGCAGCATCCATGTAACATACCACCCCCTCACCCGATGATGCTAGAGTTGGTGCTACTGGTCAGTCACGGGGGATGCCGCAATCGAATGCATGGAAGGTTGGCTCCGCGTCACATAGCCTGTATTGCACCAGATGACAAGGAGGATGGCGTGTAAGTTTATCGTGGGTCTTGTATTGACGCACGGGTGATGCATTCTTTGTCATGCATTACTGTACAATGCTTCCCACTTACACAACATATGCCTCACCTAGTCTAGCGATCATTGCACTCCAGGTGAACGGGATCTGCTGGTGGTGCGGGCAACTCCCTAGACTGCTGCGGTATGCCCAGACAGGCAAGGCCTGTTGCAACTCCGTGCCCACTCTGTTCAATTGGTCCCTCATCCACTCTCCCCTCCATCACACCTGGCCTAGACAAGCTTCCCTCCAACCCTGGGCCCGCCGCATCCTCCACATGCGTTGTCTCCTCATGCCTGTCCTCGTCCCTAGCAGCCCCAATGGATGCAATGCCTCCATCCATGGTGGTCATATCAATCCCATCCTCATCCCCACTGTCCTCTATCTCCCGCAAGGCTCCAAGGTCCGTCGTGACACGCGACAGCACTCGCACTCCACGTGAGGGGCGGGATCTCGTCCTCTGCTGCACACCTGGGGTAGTGAGACATGAAAATGACACGATTGCTCAATGCCACCCCAAAACCCACATGGAAGAAAGTCAACATTTATGGCCAAGCCACATACCTGTGGGTATCTGTGCCTGATAGCCAGGACCATGCCTTGCTCCCCCCAATCGAACCCCCGGCCAGCTTCCCCCCCTCATCCCCCGCTGCTGCTGGCACGAAGCCATACACCAGTTCCGGAATGCGCTGGGGCTTGATGGTCCGAAGCTCCTGACTGGTCGGCAGACCTGTTGAGTCCTTGGGGCGTACAGTTTTCGTGTGCGCCTCTACGCCGCTGTAGAATGCCCCAGTAACTCCCCCCCGACTCCCCTGCTCATGTGGTGACAAAACATTTGAGGGGCGGTCGTTCGTTAGGCAGTCTGCAATACCCATGCACGACCCGCTTGTTTCCTACTTGCATGCCTCTTACCTCCTGCGACGGCTGCCAACACAAGCTGCCTGCATAGATCTGGCGCGGCTTCAATGAGTACCATAACCACATCCGACACGCTGGGCAAGATGGCTCCACCCGTAAAAGATGCCAATCCACATCGTAGAATATGGATGGGGGTCTTCATGTGCGTGTGAAGCGTGATCTGTTTCTTGGGGCCCGCACTCAGCTGGTCTGCCACTTCACTAGCAGTATCAGTAGCCGTTGCATCCACTGTCACCGGGGGAGTGGCCCCCTTGCCCAGAGTGGTTGCTGACGGAATTGTCATCACGTCCAATCTGCCACTGGTTGCATGTGGGCACCAAGATGGAAGAAGGGTTGAATTTATGATTGTGGGCCATGATGAGTGTGGGGCACGTTGGGACTCGAGAGTGCTAGGGAGCTGTGTAAACAACACGGGTTGTTAGTGGTCGAGAATGGGAGATATGGGGAATTAGAGAACGGGTTTGGATAGTACTGGCTGGAGGGAAATATGGATATTGAAACCATCCAATGGATGTGATTGGTAGGTACGTTGGTAGAGGTACGATGGGATTACGTGGCAAGGTTTGAGCGGATGTGGAGGGGGTGGTTAGGAAGACAGCCCTGGGGAGTGTGCAGCGGGCATACCATTGGACTCGGGAGTAGGGGAGTCACTCAGGAGTAGAAACTGATCGCGATTGTGATTCGCTTTGAAGAGGAGTTTTGCTGTAAAAGAGACAAGCTCCTTCACATTCTCGCAGGTCCGATGGACCTGCCACCTAGTCTCATTCTCACTTCTCTTCTCTGATTGCTTACCACCAGCACACTCTAAACCCCTCCTATGCCTAGACCTGGGCATAGGAGCATGCTACTTGCGGATATGATTGCCGCACGTTTTTCTACCATGACTAGAGGAATGGTTTCTGCTATAAGTGGTTGTCCTCCTGTTTCAAGAATGAATCTCAGGAGCAACGGACGACGTGGCTCCCCTGTGCGTGAGGGAAGTCAAGCTTCTTCCTCTCAATGTGATCGTTCCCGCTCTCTACGCAACATGTAAATTTTTAAAGTGTTCACACTTTCAAAATTGCGTATTGTGAATGCGAAGCTGCTTGTAACGCAACCTCAGGCATCGTCGAAGCGCGCTATTCGCCCCTCTCCAACCATATAATGGGGTTGGAGGTCATTCTTCCTCCACCCACGTTTTTCATTTTTCCCAGCTCAAGTTCAATTGAGTTCCCATCCCGCTTTTTTCGCCCCGCCACTCTGGCGAAGTTGAAAACTCTCACTCGCGGGAAGCACCTTCCCAGCTTCTCGCAGATATCCTTACGCATAACCAGGCAGCCATGGCCCCTCCTAGCACCCCGGCCAATCCTGCTGAAAATCCGCCCATCAACACTCCGAATATTTCGGAACCCGAGAAAAACGCCCATGAAATGGCGGGTGATCGCGGCAACAAGCGTCGGGCAGAGGGCAACCTTGCCCCTTCTGCCCTCGACGTGTTATTGCGCAGTGGCGAGGTCCACCAAGTTGAGCTTGGTGGGCCACGCGCCAGCGAGTAGTAGGCGACGGATGACGCGTCCCCTGCTGATGGCAACGCGCAGAAGGCGCCGACGGCAGGGCGGGCCCCGCGCGTCAGAATAAGCGAGGCCGCAGGGCGGCCTCGTCCAGCGCGCCAACACCTGCCGCCCCTGCTTTGACCAACGAGCAAGTGGCGGCACTGCTGGCGCTGTTACAGCAAAACACACCCGCGGTTACAGCAGCTGCGACTACCATTTCTGCCTCGACTAAAATTGAAGATGCAAAAAAGGAGTCGTCACGTCACGTTCGTCCTTCCAAGACCGCCCGCGCCAAGAAGGAGCTAGCCGCTGCCACGCAAGACAATGCCAATAAAGACAGTGACTCCGACAATGAGGCTGGTGAGGCTCATACACACGCAATTTTTTTCGCACCCACCGAGCACCTCCCACCTCTTCCTTTCTCTAACCCAACCATCCCGGCATCATTGTTCAACAACGCTGGGGTACGCGAGCAAGCCGAGTTCTTGGAAGACCTGCGAGCGTACCTGAAGCACGCGGAGCACAAGGTGCGCCACGGCGACACATCGAGCTCGCTCGAATATTTCGAGGCGGCATACGCGCTCATCGCCAAGTGCTTCGAGCCCCTCCAAGTCTCCGACGCCTCCGACTTCAAGACGGCACACCGCTTCAAGCTCTACCAAGAGAAGAGTGTCCTCACCTCACGCCCCTTCAAGCAAGCAGTTGCAGACGTTGCGGCAATGAAACGTGCGCAAGGATCCTATGGCCGTGGCCATCCCGTTGGAGGCCGCGGCCCTATGGGCTTTAGAGGGAAGTTTGACCCTCCACCGAGCGGCGCCCAGAGAGGCTTCCGAGGCACTTGCTTTCGCTGTGGCCAGCCGGGCCACACGGCAAACAACTGCACTGGAAATGGGAGCGGGTCACAAGGGCCCGCACCCGTTGTGTGAAAAGAAAATGAGGATTTTTTTGTGGACTTTGGAGTAGGTGCCACTGCACCATGGGGTGCTTAGGGCCGCTGGCCATTCCCTCGCTGGGAATTAGAATGCAAAGGTTGCTGGCCAAACCCGATCGAGGGTATGAGTATAGGCCATGGGCCAAGCCCCAAGGGGGGAGAAAACATTTTTTGACCTACCTTGGTTGAGGCACCCTTGGAGGTGCCGGTTCTTTTCGTTTCATCCTCTTTTTAAAAAGGATAGAATCTGTGTTGGATAGTGGCCAAGGCTCGAGACCTGAAGCTCATGGGCCAAGCTTTTCAATTCTTGTTGATCTCCTTTCTTAAAATATTATTGAGAAACCCAATCTGAAAAAATGCCTCACAATGCCTTGGGACCTCACAAGGCAGCTCCATTTTTGGAGCCTAGGAACCTATCTTGGGTGCCCTTGCCAACCAAGCCCAACCAAGAAGAAGGCACGGCCCCAAAAAAAAAAGGGTGCGGCCACATCGAGGCACACGAAGCCACACACTTTGTTGGGCCTTCAATGTCTAGCACGAACAAACATAACTAGCCTTAGCTTCCGTCTCATCACATGCGCTTTGACAAGTCATTCGAGGGACTTGGCTTTTTGGAACACGATGCTTCGCCAAAGAAAGATGGTGCAAGCGAGAGAGTGAGAGAGAGAGAGAGAGAGAGAGAGAGAGAGAGAGAGAGGAGAGAGAGAGAGGAGAGAGAAGAGAGAGAGAGAGAGAGATAGAGATAGAGAGAGAGAGAGAGAGAGAGAGAGAGAGAGAGGGAGAGAGAGAGAGAGTGAGAGAGGGAGAGAGAGAGGGAGAGAGAGGGAGAGAGAGAGGGGAGAGAGAGGAGAGAGAGAGAGAGAGAAGGAGGGAGAGAGAGAGAGAGAGAGAGCAAGAGAGAGAGAGAGAGAGAGAGAGAGAGAGAGCAAGAGAGAGAGTGAGAGAGAGGGAGAGGGAGAGAGAGAGTGAGAGAGAGAGAGAGAAGAAAGAGAGAGAGAAAAAGAGTGAGAGAGCCCGAACGCAAGAAAGCAACATCGAAAGTGCGTGCGCGGTGGCGCAGCATGCGACCGGCTGCCGGGCCAGATACACATTGCCCTAGTCCCTGAAATTCACATCATATCAGGCACTAGCCTTTATGGATACATCCCTGGCTTCAAAAAAAAATATAAAAATTGTGTATGCTCACGATCACGTTTGGTGGACTTCACACTTGCTCTGCCCCACATTTACGAACCTTACCCCATTCTTTTGTTGGATTTCATTTGCAGAACTACTCACACATGACCTTACGGGGCTTGGTGATCCCTTCGAATACGCAGTAACGGACCGGACGGTCTCAACCATGCGCGGGCGCCTGCGAGACGCACTACCCTGGTGGCGTTCGTGGTGCACCAGTAGCTTGATCATATCAGTCATTGACAAAGGCTACCGGATGCCTTGGAAACAAGGGCCCCCACAACTTTTCCGGAGCACCAATCATGCAGGGGCCCAAATTCACGAGGCATTTACGAAGTCCGCCATCGCGGATCTCCTCCAAACCGGCGCCGCAGCAAAGGTGCCAGAATCAACGCTCACATGCGTCAGCCCTCTCAACGTTGTGGAACAGCGCGACAAACGTCGTCTCATCCTCCATCTGCGCAAGGTCAACCCGAAGCTGCAAATTCCCAAATTCAAGTACGAGGGACTCAATCGCGTCGCAGAGTTGGCGCGTGCAGGCGATTGGATGTTTTCAATCGACCTGAAGTCTGGCTATCACCACGTCGACATTCACCCGTCGTGTTGGAAATTCCTGGGTTTCCAATTTGGCGGGCACTCATACTGTTTCCGCTCCCTTCCGTTCGGACTGGCTACCGCACCGTTCATCTTCACGCAGTTGATCAAGCAGCTCGCGCGCCGCTGGAGAACAATGGGAGTGCGTGTCATACCGTATGTGGGCGACATCCTCTTCCTTTGTCATTCGGAAGCCGACGCCCGGGAAACTTGCACCCACATTATTGGTGATCTTTGCAAGGCAGGCCTCGTGATCAACGCCAAGAAATCCCACCTTCAACCAACCCAGTGCTTACGTTTCCTGGGCTTGGAACTCGATACCGAAGTCGGCCAATTCTCTGTGGGTCCAGAACGGCGTGGCACACTGCAGGCTACTATCCAGTCGCTCCTGGAAGACGGACGCAGCCAGTCCAAGGTCCCTGTCCAGCACGTCGCACGGGTTACTGGTATGCTTGCTTCGATGACTCTTGTGCTTGGGGCCACTGCTAGGACATTCAGCCACGCCCTGCTGCAGACCATCAACGATGCTCCCTCTTGGAATAGCAGAGTATCGCTCTCACCTATCGCCTGCGAGGAGTTGGAATTCTGGTCAACCGAGTTCGACCACTTCAACGGTGCCCCATTTCATGTGCGCTGTAGCTACGATGCTGTAATTCACATCGACGCGAGCAGCCACGGCTGGGGGCTACTCTCAACACGTCCAGTACCCGTCGCGAGATTGAAGGGGTTGTTTGGGCACTGCAGACATACAGTGACCTACTCCGAAACAAGCATGTGCTTGTACGCATGGATAATTAGGGAGTTTTCTTCATATTGAAGAAGGGTGGCTCATACAGCTCTGATCTCACCATCGCTTGCAGGGAGATCATTCGCACGTGTACTACCCACCGAGTTCGCCTCATGATGGAGTGGATCCCTCGCGAACTCAACACGCATGCGGACGAGCTCTCCAAGATACTCGACCGCGATGACTACACGCTGAAAACGCCGTGGTTCAACATCCTTGATCGGCACTGGGGTCCCTATTCGATTGATCTCTTCGCCAATGCTAGCAACGCCAAGCTGCATCGTTTCTGTTCCGAAAACCCACACCCCGCGGCTACGGCGAGCCACGCTTTCACGATCTCTTGGTCGGCAGAACACGGCTTTGCCTTCCCCCCACCTCAATTGATCCCCGCCGTCCTCCACCATGCACAACGTACACACGCGTTTCTCACCCTGGTACTTCCCCACTGGCCCGGCGCCAGCTGGTGGCCACTCCTCCAACCCTCACCACCAGCCTGGGCTAGCCCCATCAAAGCCCACATCCGACTCACGCATGGAAGCCAATGCTTAGCCCCAGGCACACACACTAGCGCCTTCTCCGGCTCTGGTCTACCTGATAGCCTCATGCTGCTCGCTCTGCAAGTCGCGTTTCCCTGATATCTGCCTCCCCGCCTGTATCGCAAACAGATCTAATCCCAACCCTGCAACGCGAGCTGCTCTCGGTCATGGCACAAACGCGCGCACCCTCTACAATTCGAACTTACGAACCTTATTGGCAGCAGTTTCGTTCCTTCTGTATCAGGGTCAACCTTCCCTTCCTGCCAACCGCGGACATGACACTCGCCTTGTACCTTGTCTATGCAATTCGCAACAAGGCCACTCTCTCAGTGATACAACTCACATGCTCGGCCGTCAGCTTCGCTCACCGCATGATTGGGGCATCCTGCCCCAGCACTGGCCCCTTCACGTCACAAGTTCGAGAATTCGCCAAGCGACAGTATCCCCGGCCCAATCAAACCAAGGAACTGGTCTCTTTACATCAAGTGCACGAGATGGCTACTCACTTCATCGGTGCCAACGACCCGGCCACATTCCAGAAAGGTCTCATTCCCCTTCTCATGTACGTCGGATTTTTGCGTTACTCCGATCTCGTGGCCATCAACTGGAGGATATCCAGTTTGAGGATGACGTAATGTGGCTGCTCATCCCGCGCTCCAAAACGGACCAGGCAGGTCAGGGCTTATGGGTTCCTGTTGCTGCCATCCCAGGACCCCTCTGCCCTGTCCGATGCACCAAACGCTTCATCCGGCTGGCAGGCTATGGACCCACCACTCCTGGACCCTTAATCCGGGTGTTCGGCGTGGCCACAGGTGGCGCCCTACCAGCAAGCTGCCATCATACACCACCATACGCAACTGGTGCAAGGAGGCTTTCCAGTCCATCGGCCTGGGTGAGCATCACCTTGGCACCCACTCCTTTCACAAAGGTGCTGCAACCGTCGCTGCCACGGAGGCGTAGCAGACCGGCTCTTCAAACGTCTTGGCCGATGGTGCAGCGACATGGCTAAAGAAATGTATGTCACACCTGCCGTCGACCAACTGGTTGCGGCTTCCCGCAACGTACAGACCCTCGGGTTGGCACCATCCCCGGCACAACATTCTTGAGCCCTTGCACGCCACCGACAGCCATCTCCCTCCATGTCTCAGGTCAACCCAGTGGAATGAGAACGATGCCATTTGCACTACAAGTAGCAAGCTTTCTCAATATGTAAAATTTTACAGTGTTCACACTTTCAAAATTGCGTATTGTGAATGCGAAGCTGCCTGTAACGCAATCTCAGGCATCGTCGAAGCGCGCTATTCGCCCTTCTCCAACCATATAATGGGGTTGGAGGTCATTCTTCCTCCACCCACGTTTTTATTTTTCCCAGCTCAAGTTCAATTCCCGCCCACCAACCCGCTTCGTCTACCTTCTTCAACATGCACCGCTTCGGTGGATCATCCTCGGCATAGACAGATCCTTCCTAGTGTAGAAAGTTTGTGCTAATATATGAATATGTAGGGAACTCGTTGTACTTGATGCCAGTGGAATGAGAACGATGCCATTTGCACTACAAGTAGCAAGCTTTCTCTATAGATACGCTTCTGTTACTGCATTAGATTTGCTGAATGGCGCACGGCAAAACCCCGTTCAGCAACCCGGATAGGCTCCCGTCGGAGACCGCAACACTTCTAATGGTCGTGATTCTCCCGCGGCGAGCGGCGTGACAAACCAGAACGTGTCGACTTGAACCCGGCAGGAGAAAACGCCCCGCCACCCATGGAATAGTTGTGCGCGGCACCCCTCGGCCGCAATAATGACGGTCCTGCGCGCGAGGATCGCAATGATCATCGCGATTCAAGGCGTGTAGGTCGAAATAATGAGCAGAATCCCGGGCGTGACCAGACGCGTCAGGAACCGGATCGTCAGAATCTTGACTAGTGTGCGAATCGCCGGGACCGCCAGGATCGTGGCGATTGCCAGAA